GGTGGCTTTGTATTTCTGATGAGTGTATTTTCCCACTTGTTATTTTGGGACATCAGTTTATTTCCAGTCGAAAGGGAAGAATATCCACAATGTTGTTTATTGCAGCTTCTAGACTTACTTGAAGTTTAAAAAAGATTAAGAAATTTGTGAATGATGTTAATTATACCTCATTTTAGACTTGATGATGTGCTAGCTGTAGTAGAAAGGACTTTGGACAGTAATGTTCTCAAATGTTGTCTTTTGGCTAAAGTCTGTCTTGTTCAAGTGTGTTGACATAAAACACAAGAATCTCCTTTATGCTTTCAACACTCGGACCTTATTTTTATCTCCAGATAAGGTGTGTGGCTATATAATTTATAGGTGATACACATTGTGACATTTACATTAAAAATTTAATATAATGACTTTGTGCTGGCAATGTGATTGCTTCTTTTGCATATTCAATAAACAAAACTTTTTTAAAAATATGAGGTGTGGTCAAGGGCCTCTGTTGTAGACAAGCACTTGTCTTCCTTTTTGGCTTAGAAAGATGGCTATCATCTTGTACGATTTAAAAGGGCAAAATGTTCACCAATAAGATTATACAAAGAATTTCTTAAGGTACTAATTTCTTAAGACTTCTGCAGAAGCTGGTCAAATGCCAGATTATAATGACAACACAGATCGAGCAGTATTGTTTAGGTCCTGACAGACTGCTGAAGTAAAGATGAGTTGGTTGGTAACAGAATTGAAGGTATAATTACTAGCAGTTTTTTTCTTCTTGATTTTTCTACCTGGAAAACAGTAGAAGTGGTAGAGTAGCAGAACAGAATAGAAAAGATCTGGTGTTTAGTTTGGTGACTCTAAAGCTGAGAGCATATGAAGGAAAAGTATTCTATATGAAGTATTTCAGTTGCAAATAGCTGGGTTGAAGGAGTTTGTGGTATTGTCTCCTCAAGTATCACATTTCATTAATGCACAGGAGCAGTATTTTAAAGAAAAAATGATACTGTGTTGTGGAAAAAGGTGATATCTTGATTAAAAATTTCGCTCAGAAATGGAAAAAATGGTAGGATATTCTTGTTTGCGGTGCAAGGGTACTGGAAGGATCTCTTCCAGATACACACTCTGTAGCCCCCAACCAAGCCTTCTCTTCTCCAGGCTGAGCAGTCCTAGTGCTTCCAGCATCTCCTCTTGTGATAGATGCTCCAGTACCTTAATCACCTTTGTGGCCTTGAGCTGGACTTGCTCCACTAACTCCATATCTTTCTTGTACTGGGGAGCCCAAACTGGATGCAGCACTCTAGGTGCTGATTTCTTCGCTACAGCATTAAACTGTCTATGTTGTATAATACTCAGTTTGATTATTTGGATAATTAACTGTATGTGTCTCCTCTTCGTCAAGCAGAGAATCTGTGTTAAAATTGGTACTTAAAAAAAAAAATTGCAGGCTTTCTCCCCACCCTCCTATAACGCTGATCTGCTGAGGCTGCAAGTGCAAACAGCTTATCTGTCATATGAGTGACTAGGAAATACACTACTTGCCCTCATTTTTTGTGTTAATGCTCTTGTCTGTTTTAAAATTCAGAAGAATTGCTTGCAGTTCTCGAAAAACATTTCATTTGCTTGTTCTGTGGTTGTTTTGGTGGGTTTGGGGTTTTTTGTTGGCTTCCCCCCCCAGGTTAAATTCAGGAAGTGTTTTTGATGTGGAAGTTTTAATTAGATTTTAAAACAGACTGTAAGAAGTACTAAGATTAGAGTATTACTTGAACAATACCCATTCATGTACTGTAAGCCTAGGCTTTCCTGTTAGTGTGTTAATTTGTTGATCAAAAGTTTTCTAGGGAATGATATTATTCCTTTTAATGTATCTGAAAGCTTAAATTTTGTATTCAGTTTGAGATTTAGCAAAGAAGTATTGCTCATGAAGACAAACATCTGAACAGCCTCATGTAAGTTATTTCAGTGGAGGCCAGAAGTTATTTTAGGCTGAGAAACTACTTTGTTGTCTTTTTTTTTTAAAGTGTAGTTTGTTACGCTTCCTCTAGAGGATTTGCCATTGTGTATTTCCAAAATGAGTAATCCGGATCTACTGAAAAAAGACATTCGAGCATTGTTTATAAATATTTATAAACTGCTGTGATACTCCCAGATCAGAATTAATTTAGTAATGTGATGAAAAATTATTTCCTGGGAAAAAACACATGAGTTCCTTAGAGGTTAATGTAATATTCAAATGCAGACTAAGAGTCTTATAGGTAAATAAACCACATTAAAATCAAAAGTTAAAGTTGCTGGTGATTCCAAAGTATATTTATACTTGAAATTGTCTTTGCTGACCCCAAAATGTCAGAGGTAATGGGGCTGTCCACTTACCCCCAGATTTAGGGGTTAATTTCCCCCTTCTAATATACACTCACAATTGGCAGTGGCGGCTGAATCAGAGGGATAATTTTCTTTACTGATGGACCACAGTTTGTATGTGTGAAAGAATAGTATTAATTTTGACAAAGTTTCCAAAAATATTTTGATGAAGACCTGAAGGGAGAACTTATTATGACAGTGTTAATGACAATTAACTTGATGCTCAAGAACAACTGGAATGGCATCTTTGATCTCCTTGTATCTTTATCGTCTTGTCTCAGACAACTGTAGCCCTACCATGGAGGTGTTTCTACTGGCTCCAGCAATTGCTTAAAATAGTTTCATTTCCTTTTATTTTATATCCTGTGTTTCTCATGTAAAGTGTACGGGTATGAAGAAAGTTAATTGGAAAAGTCCTGCTTACTTCCTTGTGGATGCGGCTTTCCTGTAGTGGAGCCCTTCCATGCTTTTAGAAAGTCGGAGGCCATTGCACTGAAGTGCTTTGCATGGGAAGAGCTGAACAGGTATCCCAAAACCTGAAGGGAAGAATGTGTCCCAGGGTACCGCTTGTTCTGTCTTTGAGCTGCAATGTGTAGGTGTACACTCAGTAAGCCCTACCTCACCATTTCTTATGCTTGCCAGTGCCCAGTGAGGCTTTGGGTCAAGGACTGTGGATGAAGGGACAGGGAAAAATCTTAATGTTCTGGTGAAAATTTTGGGATGATTTATGTGTGTGGGATGGAAGAAAATCTTGCCAGTTGTTTCTCACTATATTTTAGCCAACCTTTAATTTTAACATACATTCTTGGCCTTGCAAGTGGTGTTAGTGAAGACTATGTATAGTCCTTTTTGTTTCTCTGGCACTTTTTTCTACAAAAACCAGGGTAATTTTATTTAGAAGTACATTTTTATAGCCTTTATTAACTCATTGTTGATGTTCCTATTCAGTTTCCTTAGTAGAGTCAAGCCAGAACATACTGTTCCATTGCGACCTTTGTTAGCTGTACGGTGAGCGTGTGTCTCACTGGAGATGCATCTTGATTTCACCTGAGCTTCTATCCCATCTGCTTGTTTTTGTTGAAGCATTGTTTCCTTGAATGAAGAGTGTATTCTAAACTTCATTGACAGCCTAACCAAAATAGAAAAAATAAGCAATGCCCTCCTTCCACATGTTTTTCCTGTTTGAAGAACTGTAATTAGATTACTGGAGGAAGGTGAATAGTGTATTAAAAAAAGAACCAAACACAACAAAAATCAACCAACGACATTCCCCATCATCATCTAAGTAACAAATTAATTGTTATGTTTAGAAAATAAAGGTGGGTTTTTTCCCCCCTCATACTTCTACTTGCTATACTATTTGGAGCACTTAATTGTACGCCATAGCAGTGTTGCTCTGAGGTGGTTTTTTGAGACAGAACCAGCTTATGTGTTTTACATAGTCTCATTCACTTGACACTCATCATGGATAGAGAGGCAGTAATAGTTGCCTCTTCTGTGTAATGTAAGAACTTTTGTGTGTTTGTAATTGTCATATACATTGCTAGGAGCTCATAACACAGCTGCAAAAACTGTGATGTTTCTGAAACCATAACTTAATGTGGAGATGGACACCTTTATGATTGCCCAAATAATTACATAAATCAAATCACAGAAATTAATACTGAGAGTTGAATTTACTAAAATTCAAGAAAATTAATAAAAGCAATGAGAAAATTAATTAGAAGAAATTGATAATTCTTTAATGAAATAAATGGACTAAGCTCTAGATCAAACTTTATGGTACCTTCAATTCACACATAACATTGTATACTACTTTTTCTCCTCTACTGTTGTTCACAGAAAGGGAAAATAATGATATCATGGTGGTAGTGGTAGTGACATCTAAATCTTTCCAGTCGCTCTGGGAAATGCATTTGAAATGTATATCCTTACTTTTTTTTTAATGGTGTTTTAAAATAATTCCTGGTTGGTATATTTTTGAGCGTTACAGGAGAGTATGTTCTCTGTTCATACGCAGTCCCAGTTGCAAACAGTTTTGCAAATTCATGGCATAAAATCATAAGTAATGTCTAAACCTGATTTTGCCTTAGTTTAATAAGTTTCTTGTTGAGGGCAACACTGAGGTATTCCCTTAATATTATTTAATATCCCAAATAATTTATCTTTTGCATTTCTTTTTAAATTGGGGATGGTTGCTTTCAGTGCATGGAACTTGAAAAATAATTCTGAATTTATCATTCAGGTTGTGCCAGGGGAGGTTTAGATTGGATAGTTGGAAAAATTTCTTCACCAAAAGGCCTCTCAAACTTTGGAACAGGCTGCCCAGGGAAGTGGTTGAGTCCCCATCCCTGGAGGGATTTAAACGATGTGTAGATGTGGCGCTTAGGGACATGGTTTAGTGGTGGGATGGCAGTGTTAGGTTAACAGTTGGACTTGATGACTTTAAAGGTCTTTTCTAACCTAAATGATTCTAGGATTCTATGATTTTTCTTCTCTGATGTTTATGGCAGCAACTTTCTTTTTATTGGGCAGATGTGCCTTTGACTTCAACTCGCTTGGGAAAAATATCAGTGTTTTCAATTTATTTTGCATTTTTTTCTGCTTCTGATTTCAGATATTCCACATAGTTATTCATATCCAGGAAAGAGTATATAATGGGGAGAAAACTGGATCTTTCTGGCTTGACTGATGAAGAAGCAGAGCATGTGCTCCAAGTGGTTCAGCGAGATTTCAGCCTTCGTAAGAAAGAAGAAGAAAGGCTGAGGTAAGAATAAAAACATGATTAAAGATATTTATCTCTTTGGATTATTACAGACTGGTTTGGGGGGAAACTAGTGGTGTTCTGTGCATTAATAATTATTTCTATTGCAGAGGCAATAAATATCCAAAATCCTCCACAAGTATTCACTTACTGAGTAGTAAATAATTTTTGGCCTAAATCACAACAACAGTCTCTAAATCTGTGTGTTTTGCCTAGGTAGAGCCTAAGTAGTGGTTAACTTTAATATAAACAGAAGTTTATGTTAAGAGAATTTTCTGCTTGTTGTAGTCAGTTCCTTTTTTTATTCAGAAACTTTGTATGCAGACATCTAAAGGTGAAGAAGTTCAGACCATCTCTTCCCCCAGAATAATCAATGGGACATGTTATCCATTGTATTGAGAAGTTAACTTTACTTTCAGTAGTCTGTGTACAAAGTGATTGCAAGCAGAAACAACCCAGAAGAAAACAAATGGAAGTTGTTGCAAAGTAACTTTCTCAGCCCAGGATCTTTGGTATGTGACAAGGGGACTACTGACAGAGACCCGAATTGGTAGATGCAATATTTACCTGAGTTGGTAGAGGCAATATTTTTCTTGCCGTTTCAACAATATTTCCTTGAATTATGTCTGATTTTTTTATTACTTTGAACACATTAGCATTTAGAATAGTCTGAGGTCTCTATCTATAGTTGGCAAATGCACATTCTCTTACCATACTACTGATATCACAGATATCATCTGTTTCTTTATCATTTAGCATCAAGCTGAAGTCGACAGAGCAGGAAGATGACCAAAATAAACGCAAAACTAGGCATATATATTATGTGTGGTTGGAACCGTGAGGAATCCTGCCTCTGTCAGTTTTCTGTTACTATTTTCTGAAACTACTTGGAACATTAGGAACAAGAAAGAAGGCTTGCAGCATAGGCCTATTTCAATTTTGGCATGCTGTGTAAATTCATGGTTGGGTTGGTAGCGCAAGCATGCTGCAGGGAGGAAAGACTGGATGAGGATGGCACACAGTTTTCGGGTTTTTTTTTCCTTTGTCTGTTTGTTTTGCTATGGGTTGTACTGAGTATTTTTGGTAGCCTTTCACAACAAAGCCAAGAGATTCTAGAAACAGTTTAAGCAGGGTGAGCGCAGGGGCTTTCTCTGGCTTTTCTTCTGTGACTGATTGTATCTTATTGGAGTAAATATGCCATAGTTAGCAAGCACTGGAGCATTCTGCCTATTCTATATAACTAGATCATACAGTGAGAGGAGGAGAGGGAAGGATGTAGGGCATGCCCATGGAAAAGTGATTGGAAAGCTTGGATAGGTAAACTTTATGCTGGTGTTTGTGTTTTACAATTTTGCTGCTGAAGTTGTCCATGAGACTTGATAATTGAATGATCACAAGTAGAAAACTGGTGTGAGAAGGGAAATAAAACACCAGAAATGTAGGAGAAACACACAGTCAACTCCACTTATGTATATTTTTTTCACTGGAATGTAGTTCATACTTTTGCAAGTATTAAAGTATGTTAAAATGCTGCAAATAATGAGACATACAGACAAAGTCAAAGTTCTGAAATGTAGGCTAATATTTAAGGTATGAATTTAAGTAATTTTAATGGCTTTAATGATTGCCAGTGAAGTTCAAAGCTTAATTCTGACTTAAAAGCTACTATCGGGCATCTTTGTTTTACTATGTTGTGCCTTGCTATAGATTAGATTTTTTTCAACCCGTAAGAAAGCAGGTAAGTTCTCATGTCTGCTTTGATATTCTTGGCTCTATTGCATTTGTTTTTTAGAATGTTAGCAACTGGGAAAGTCTACAGTATAGTTTCATTTTAGAAATATTGTCAGGCTTTGTAATCTTTTTTAACAGAAAAAAATGGCATATATATTTTATATATTAGACGGCTGATAATACATTCAAAACCAATTTATTTCTGAATGTAGGTTGTTTTTTTCCTTCCTGTAATTAATTCCAGGTAGCAACATTAGTCTTTGGTTGGAACTGTTGAAGCTTTTGCATGTGACACTTTCTTAAAATAGGGTTTCTGGGTAATTCTTCATACCAGAGATAGTTTTATTATGGGGTAGTTTTCCCCACAAAGATTTAAGTTGCTGTTTCACAGATATCTCTCTGGGATTATTCCCATCGGTAGCAATTATTTTTAAAGATCAAGAACTACTTAAGGGAATATATGACAGATTTCAACTATATCAGGAGAACAATGAAAGCTAAGACTGTAAGTGGTCGATGGCTTCAACTTTGCTTTGCTAGCAGAAGCTGAAGAGTTAAGAAACTTCATTTCTTGTAGTATGTTAATCTACACTCCTAATAAATGTTTTTAAGGTAATGAAGTAAAATGGCAGCTGTTCTAGAGCTAACATACCAGTGTCTTTTACAGTATTGCAGTTGGTAGGTGTTAATTTATTTTTCCATATTCTGTAAACAAAATGACATAATGAATGTGTGGAGAAAAGCCATACTGATCATCTGGATTTTCTATTGCAAAGCTGTTTTGAATGCCTCTGCAGTGAGAATTTTTAGCAGTGGTTCTCTAATTTGAATCTTTCCCTCAAGTTTATGCTAATGTTATCAGACAGGCTGCTCTTGTACATTTTGTGAAAAAATTAGTTGGCTAAAAATAGTAAGATAACAATAAGATAACAATACGTAAATAATTAGTGATTAGCGTGGTTGATTTATTATGCCTTACTGCTTCATATCAGTTCAGTGTCTTTTTTTTTTGCTATGGCTCTCAGCCTGGTATCTGATTAGTAATATTTACTGTTCTTTGTTGCCTGTTCACCCGTAATCTTTCTGTTTTGATTATGTGTTAGTTCTGTTCTTTGGCAGTAGTGTTATGTTTTTATTTACTCCAATGTTAGTGTAATCATCCAGAGTCATTGAGGCTAAAATTATAACACAGACTTGTAAATAGATGGGCTTGATTTTCTGTGAATCAGTTGAAGCAGGCAAATCAGGCAGATCTGGCATCATTAGGAAGGTGATCGGTTTGAGTTGCTTGGCATGGGCGGCTCAAGACTAGGCTGCGGTAGTACAGCCTTGTGTACGTCGCCTCTGCCGCAGAAGCTCTACAGGCTGTCTCTGGGATACTGGGACACTAATATTTATAGTTGGCTTTTAGAACAAGTTGACTGGACACACTAATGGTTTGTTTTCTTGTGGACAAGTTTATTTTCTTAATCTTGAATTTCAGGCTTCATGCATCTGCAGAATGTCAGGAATGGGGAAGATTGGACTGTTTTGAGGGTTGAACTTTTTAATGTTTTGCAGTGTGTAATGTCTTCATCATATCTGCAGTTTGTGGTTTTTTTGGCTTTTGTTTAATTTTTTTTAAAGAAATGGCAGAGGAGAGCTTACAAGAATTTACAAGGCCAATGTGGGCTTGTGAGATAGGCCTCTTTACATAAATAGATGTGTAAAAAAGATTGCTGCCTTTTACTTGTTTCCATTTACTGCCTGTGTATTCAGTTTTCCAGAAGGTCTAAATGTGATGCTGTTTATTCTCCTCCACTGTGGGCAAAATCAATTCCCCCTTTGGCTTTGTTTTTACAGTTACCACTGTATTTATAAATGTGCTTGTCCATTTGTTTCAGGTCAGGAATGCTGAGAAGTCAGGGTGTTTTAAGTAAGTGGAAATTATCGTTTTACAGAAAAGAATTGATGGATCATCTTATTGTGGTAGATGTTTTCAACCTGTTATGTTTTAGCTGTATGGACAGGTTAAAAGATGGCTGTTCTGATACTGAATTTAACATTCAGAATGACTGCAAAGGGAGAAAAGTTAGAAGGGTGGGAAAGGGGGCAGGCATAGGAAGGGCTCAGATGCTTTACCTGTCAGCAGCTACTTTACTTTAGGAGGCCGTGGCCTAAGCAACTTAAGCCATCTTCCTATAACCATTGGCTAACAAATGTTTCCATCACCATAGTGAATGGTGAATCAGCCATTTTTGTGGTGGTATTTCAGTGATAAACCTTAGAAACTTGCATTGGGCAAGGATGAAAAAAATATTTCTTTGCAGGAGACATGGTTCTCTTTAGTTTAAACCACTGCTCTTAATCACCTGGGAAAATGTATTTATGAGGAAAAATTACTGGCATTCTGGTACCATATGGACATGCAAACATAACATGTTAGTCACTTAATATAGTTATGTGGGGTCACCAGAACAGCACAAGGGAAGTGTTGAGAGTTGACTGTCACCCACAAGCAGAAACATCACCACGTCTTGCCTGACACTGTGTATTTCGTAGCTGGGTTGGTGAATATCAGCTTTGCTGCCTTTATGCAGTCACATTTTCAGTTGTGGTAAAGACAAACTGCAGTGATTCATGATCAAATCTCCAGCAGTACTTTATTTGCAGAAAAAGAGATGTGTATGCTGACTGGAGGGCCCTCTCCACTCTGGTGATTCTAATTTTCTTTTAGCCAAAGAATTGGTAAGGGATTAGAATAGAGCCTTGTGTAGAAGATAATGAAATGTTTTAAATTAAGAGAGTTGCTTTTGCCTGCTTTTTTCTTTCTGCTCCTTTTGCATTGTAGCCCATTGCAGCATGAGTAGACACATACCTGACAAAACCCAGAAACCAGTTTTTTCTTGTCAGACTACAGTAGATTTCAGTGTATTTACAGTGTGTCATGGGTCTTGTAGTAGATAAAATATTAAACTTTTTCCAACCTCTGTTAATCGAAATATTGTCTGTGTGAGTCATATCAAACTGGCAAAATGCCAAGTCAGACATTGGGTAGCTATCTGTTGTTTCTGTGTATCAGTTCTTATTCCTCCTTCCTGTGGCAGGTTTGTATCAAATATCTTAAACCAAACAAAAAACAAACACAAAAGCCTGTCTGTCTTCCCTCCTCTCCTTGCCTCTAAACAGAGCCATTTTAAAGCTCTTTTTCTGGTGAGGAAGGAACAAGAGGTTGGTCTCTACAAGCTTCAGAGTTCTGGCAGACGAACTTCTGATCAATACCTTGTTGCTCA